AGCCCTTACCCAATCTCTGGTTACTTGACTCAAACCCTTCTTAGTGTCCTAATGCACTTAAATCATTAGGTGGCGACTCTTCAATCCAAAACCCAATTCCCAAAAGGGAACGAGTTGTCTTCCCAAATGTCTTAAACCCGATTTCGCGAGAAAAAGGGGGCGCGACAGGACTCAGCGAAAGTTTGATGTAGTTTGGGTGATTATGGATAGGCTGACCAAGTCAGCTCATTTCATTCATGTGATGACCACTTATTCTTCCGAGCAGCTGGCTCGAGTGTATATCCGTGAGATTGTCAGACTTCATGGCGTGCCGGTATCTATCATCTCTGACTGGGGTACGCAGTTTACATCACGGTATTGGAGGGCCGTACAACATGAGTTGGGTACTCAGGTTGAGTTGAGAACAACATTTCACCCTTAGACGGACGGACAGTCCGAATGCACTATTCAATAATAGAGGTTATGCTCTATGCTTGTGTGATGGAGTTTGGAGGTTCTTTGGATCAGTTCTTTCCACTTGTGGAGTTTGCCTACAACAACAGTTATCAGTCGAGCATTCAGATGGGACTGTATGAGGCTTTGTATGGTAGGCGGTGTCGGTCTCCAATGGGTTGGTTCGAGCCGGGTGAGGCTAGGTTATTGGGTACAGACTTGGTTCAGAATTCTTTGGAGAAGGTTAAGGTGATTCAGGAACAACTTCACACAGCCTAGTCCAGACAGAAAAGTTATGCAGATCGGAAGGTTCGCGATGTTGCATTCATGGTTGGAGAGCGGGTCTTGCTCCGGGTTTCGCCTATGAAGGGCGTTATGAGGTTCGGAAAGAAGGGCAAGCTGAGCCCAAGTTTTATTGGTCCCTTCGAGGTGTTGCGGCGAGTTGGGAGGTTGCTTATGAGCTTGCCTTACCTCCCAACCTAGCAGGAGTCCATCGGGTATTTCATGTTTCGATGCTTCGAAAGTATCATGGCGATCCATCTCATGTGATGGATTTTATCTCGGTCCAGTTGTACAAGGATCTATCTTATGTTGAGGAGCCGGCTATTTTGGACAGGTAGGTTCGAAAGCTGAGGTCAAAGAACATTGCATCAGTGAAGGTTCAATGGAGGGGTCAACCGGTCGAGGAGGCAACTTGGGAGATCGAGCATGATATGCGCATCTATTATCCTCATCTTTTCACCACTTCAGGTATGTCTCTATACTCGATCGAGGACGAACAATTATTTTAAGGGGGGGGGGGGATGTAACGACCCGGACGGTCGTTTTGAGTGTATTAGCCCCGATCCCCTATTTACTGCATTCCCCATATCTTTTTCTGCTTGTGTGACTTGTCGGGAGGTTTGTTTTTGGGTTCGGAGTGTTTTGGGACACTTAGTCCCTAAAACGAAAGCTTAAGTCTTAGGATTTTGACCATAGTCGGAACTGTGTGAAGACGACCCCGGAATGGAGTTTCCTCGATTCCGTTAGCTCCGCTGGATGATTTTGGACTTAGGAGCGTGTCCGGACTGTGAATTGGAGGTTTGTAGCTGATTTAGGCTGGGAATGGCGAAAGTTGAATTTTTGGAGATTTTGACCAGAAGTGGAATTTTTGATATCGGGGTCGGATTCTGATTCCGGAAGTTGGAGTAGGTCCGTAATTTTGAATATGACTTGTGTGCAAAATTGAGGTCAATCGGACGTGGTTTGATAGGTTTCGGCGTCGGTTGTAGAAATTTGAAGTTTCAAGTTCATTAAGTTTGGATTGGAGGGCGATTCGTGGTTTTGTTGTTGTTTGATGTGTTTTGAGGGCTCGACTAAGTTCGTATGGCGTTTTAGGACTGGTAGGTATGTTTGGTTGAGGTCCGGGGGGCCTCAGGTTGATTTCGGGTGGTTAACGGATCACATGGACTTGGGAAAGATTGTAGATTTTCTGATATCTCCAGTTCTGATTTCCTTCTTCGCGTTCGCGAGGGGAGTCCCGCGTTCGCGAAGAGGAGCTGGAGGCAAGTGGATTTTTGGCTTCACGTTCGTGAAGCACTGAGGCAGCTGGTCTACGCGTTCGTGATGGAGGCCCTGCGTTCGCGTAGAGGATCTGGCCAGCTGGGTCCCCGGGCCCTTTTTGCTTACGTGTTCGTGATGCTGGTACCGCGTTCGCGTAGGGTTGAGTTGAGTGACCTTCATGTTTGTGGTAAGGACATGGCATTCGCGATGAAGGAATTCTGGGCTGGAAAAAGTTGCCCTTCACGAACGTGAGGATGTGGACGCGTTCGCGAAGAAGGAAGGCCTGGGCAGAATATAACATTTCCAAAATGAGGGTTTGGCCATTTTTATCAAAACTTGAGTTTGAGAGCTCGAATTTGGATGAGATTTTGAGGGATTTTCAGAGACATCGATTAGGTAATAGTTCTACACTTGATTTTGGTTATATCCCTCTAATCTATCATTAATTTCATCATTTAATTTCGAATTTGGGGTGAAAATTTTGGGAAAAATGAGAGAAGTTCTTCAACTAAGATTTTGGGTTTTGAGTGTGATTTTGACATCGGATTTGGATAATTTTGGTACGAGTGAACTCATGAGTGAATGGGTGTTCATATTTTGTGACTTTTACCCGATCCCGAGACGTAGGCCCGGGGAGGCTTTTTTGGGCGATTCTCCAATTTCTTGCTTTAGCTTTGATTTCATTAATTAGATTAGTTTCTTATAGTTATATTTATGGTATGTAATTGATTTTGACTAGATTTGGGCCATTCGGAGTCGGATATTCGCGGAAAAAATATTGTTACCAATGGATTGAGCGTGGTTCGAAGTAAGTGGCTTGCCTAACCTTGTGTGGGAGAACTACCCTTAGGATTTGGTACTGTTGTGATATGTGAGCGCCGTGTACGTGAGGTGACGAGTGCGTGAACGGGCTATTTGTTGTAAAATCCGATTTTTACTGAGTAATAACCTGTTTTTCCTAATGGAGTTATTCTAGCATGTGTAGTTATACTGTTTAGCATAGAATAGCATGTCTATGTGTCTTAAATGCTTATCTGAACTCTGTGCAGCATGCTTAGTGGATTTTCCTGCTTTCTCCTTGACTTGTACTTAGTCTAAACTGTAGGATTTCGTGTTGTTATTGGTATTTCTATTGTCTTGAGCTGTGTATTTACTTTGGGACTACGAGACGGTATCCCGGGAGATCCCCCTGCATATTTACTTTGGGACTACGGGACGGTATCCCGGGAGATCCCCCTGCACATTTACTTTTGATACTACGAGACGGTACCTCGGGAGTTCTCCTTGTACATTTACTTTTGGGACTACGAGAGGGTATCTCGGGAGATCCCCCGCTATTTATTTTTGTATGTTGTACTGTTACTTCTCAGTGGATTTCTTTTCGTTTAATTCCAGTCTTTTATTACATTACAATATTTTCTTTGCCTTATTAGTTTATATACACCAGTAGGCCCTGACCCGACCTCGTCACTACTCAATCGAGGTTAGGCTTGGAACTTACTGGGTACTATTATGGTGTACTCATGCTACTCTTCTGCACATGTTTTCGTGTGTAGATCAGGTACTTCTTACCAGCCATGTCACCAGTGCGCAACGACAGTTGGAGACTTCAAGGTATATATGCCGCGTCCGTAGACCTCGGAGTCCCCCTCTATTCTCCCCTATGTCCATTATCTTCTGTACTTCTTTTGTTACCAGTGTATAGAGATACTAGTTTCCTTCTGTAGTTTGTGACTCATGATGTTCCGGGTTTTGGGAAAATTGTGTATTACCGAGGAGTTGGTTATTGTACATGCTGAGCGGCATGGTTATCAGTTATGTTATTATCTGTTGCAGTTAGTTGTTGAGTTTTCACTTCTATTTCTGTTATTTTCGTAATTGTCTAGGCTTACCTAGTGGTAGAGATTAGGTGCCGTCACGACGTCTTACGGAGGGGAAATTGGGTCGTGACAGCCAGCCGACCCACTTTCGCTCCACCGGAGCCTCCATCGCATCTGCGAGCGCGCAGATGCGAAACAAACCTCGCACCTGCGACCGTTCCTCGCAAGTGCGATTGCACCAGATCTGAAGCCACTAGCAGTTCCCAAGTCCAAAACTAAGTCCGATTCGCACTCGAGGCCACCCCGGGACCCCATCCAACTACACCAACGTATCCACAACATGATACGAACTAAGTCAAGGCCTCAAACCTCGTCAAACAAAATCGAAACTACGATTCGCACCCCAAAACCCAATTGAATGAACTTATGAACTTCAAACTTCACAACTAGTTCCGAACGCGCCGTATCATACTTAGACTACTCGTAATGACACCAAAATTTGCGTACAAGTCATAAATCACTATACATACCTATTCCCAGGCTCGGAATCTCAAACGGACCTCGATAACACCAAAGTCTACTCCAAACCAAATTTAAAGAACAAGAAAACCTTCAATGAACCAACTTTCCACATTAAGCGCCGAAACAATCTCGGATTACCCGAAACCCGATCCGAACACATGCCCAAGTCCAAAATCATCATACAAACCTATTGGAACCTTCAAATCCTGGTTCCGAGGTCGTTTACTCAAAATGTTGACTCAAATCAAACGGCCACCTTAGGCCACGATGAAGGAACTAAGTGATCCGATTTCAACCCGAACCCTTCTAAACCTAAACCAACAATCCCTGCAAGTCATAAAACAGTAAAGGCACATCCAAGGAGTCCTAATTAGGGGAACAGGGATCTAGTAAGCAAAACAACCGATCGGATCGTTACACGTGCTTTAGATCCTGCCAATAAAAATGCAACATTTTCGCTAAGCTATTTTTCAACTCACCTCTCCTCCCACCCCCACCCCCCACCCCACCCCACCCAAAAAAAAGAACCCCTTCCTTGGATAAACATCGTACAAGGTGTTTTTTAACATATATGGAAATATGTTGAGTCAGAATATTTTGTTTTGTGTTAATCCAAGACACGTGGAGATGGGTCCCAGTAGTTCCTTTTATAACTGGGGAACTACATTGTGTGCTGACACAAACGTTACTCAACAGAACACTATAGAAAACAACACAATTTTTGAAACTTGTAAACAAATTGTTTGATCAAAGATGTCATCAATGTTCAGATTTCCTTCTTCAATGTTTTCTCTCTATTCATCTTCTTCCTTTAAGTCATCACTTTTCCCTTCTAATTCTTCTGTTTTCCGTTTTGAGAATTCCAAGAATTCCTTATCTTTGAATGCTGTTTACCCTTTCTGGAACTCTAATTTTGCCATGGAAAATCAGAGTTTCTCAGTGCTATCTGCTTCTAAAACCCAAGATGGAGCTGCAGCTAAAGATTTTTCTTTTCAGGTAATCATTTCCCTATATATCCCTTTTGTTGTGTTTAATCGTTGATTAGCTGTTGTTAATTTTAGTATACTTTCCATTACTATGTGGGGATAGTTAGGAACTATTTGTTCAATTGTGTACTTTGTTTGGACAGACAAAAAGGAAATAAAAATTGTGGTGTACTTTGTTTGGACAGTTTGATCTGTTATCTGTTATAAAAGAAAAAGTATTTAACTTATTCTAGGTATGTAACACGTCGGCTTTTACTGAGCCGAGGATCTATCGGACACAACCTCTCCACCTTCATAAGCTAGGGTTAAGGTCTGCCTACAAACTACCCTTCCCAGGCCCCTTTTGTGAGACTACACTGGGTTTGTTGTTGTTGTTGTTGTAACACGTCGCTTGAGATAAAATTACAATGTAGAAACATGATCAATGAGGATTCATTATAGCCGGGTCCATCTTGTTTGGGGCTGAGGTAGTAGTTCTTGTTTGTATGTAACACTACGCTCTCGCACAAAGGCGGAGCTAGGATTTGTAACTTTTGGGATTCTAGTCATTTTTAAGTTATTGGGTTCTAAATTAATAAGTTGAACATAATCAATGGATTCAGCCAAACCCGTAACGCGTATTCTAGCTCCGCCCCTGCTCTCGCATATAGACCTAATTTCTTACTTTTTGGGAAAAGATTTTAGAAGTATTTTTACTGATTAGTGGGAGCTAGACTTGAATCTATGTTTGTTATAACACTATTTCGGATTGGGTTACACCACTTTATATAAAAGCTTAAATAATTAATTTGCAACGCTGTAATGCAAATTTAGTTTTGTTTTTTGGTGGTATTGATTGACTAAATTTCTTGGACTTACTGGTCAAATGAGTATCCAGGGAAGTGAATCATTCTTTAGGAGTGTATTGGCGAGCATGGAAGCGGTTTATCTGAACAAAAATCCCACTGCTAAGGCCATTTTGGAGCTAGTTCGCTCTGCTGATGGTGATCGAATTTGCTATGATCACTTTGCATTTAGGACATTTGGGGTACGATAATTCTTCTTTAATTCTAGGACTGAAATGGTGTTCTGGGAAATGTTTATGTAGCATATTCATCACTACAGATTCTTTATTTATTTATTTATTGCTGCAGGTTAATGGCCATGGCATTGATTCTATGTCAAAGTTCTTCTTGGATTTTGGTTACGAACAACGAGAAGAGTTGAGATTCCCTGCTAAGAAGTTGAAAGCTTTCTGGTTTTCTCCTCCTAATGTTCAAACTTCCAATCGGGGCAGTGGGGTTGATGGGCCATTGCCAAGAATATTTATATCGGAACTTCTTGTTGATCAGCTGAGTCCAGAAGCTCAGGTTTTTCATCAGCTTATTCCTTTGCATAATTTTTTGTATGCTTAACAGAACAAAATTTTGGTCTTATCGATGAATTTCACATTTCAAAAGGTGCTTCACTTCTAAATAATCTCATGGCTGGTCAAATTTTGAAGTACATGATTCTTCTTCTTTGCTTGCAGGATATAATTAAAAAATACACTGACATCTCTCGGTGCGGAAAAGAGTATGCAGCACTTGCGAGTGCATTTGGGGTTTTGACATGGGAAAGACCCTCATACTCCGAATTTCAACAACTGGCTAGGTACTGGAAATTGTCCTCTGCATTTTAATTTCATATTGAATTCTACATTTCCCGTGCAAGCTCCTGGATCAGATTGAAAAGTGACTTCTCAATAAGTTGTAGCTTACTAGTGTCATTTAAAGGGCAGTAATGATACTATACGTCTCTAACAAAATAAGTATCTCTTTATGTTTTTACAAATTACAACCTATCCACTATTTATATGTTTATTTTCATGAGCAGTATTCTTAAATTAATTATTTTGGTATTTCTGTGATGTCGTTGAATTACCAGGGAGAGTGAGTACGCTGCCTGGACCCTTGTCAATGGATATGCATTGAATCATGTCACCATATCTACCCATCGGTTGACATCAAATCTGAGAAGCATCGGAAATCTGAATCAATTCATTGAGAAAACTGGTTTTAACTTGAACTCTGAAGGGGGTGTTCTAAAGGGTTAGTACAAAGTAACATTGACGTAAACCTGCAATTAGTAATATTGCCTGCTTAATTTGTAGCTGCATCATGTTATATATAATGTTACTCAAGTACACGCTGTTTATTTGCTTGCTCTTTTACTTGATCTTTTCTCAGTAATAAGTTCAGCATTTACCAGTTCAGCAACAGCTAAAACCAAGATCATGTAAACTCTTTTAAGTAACACATGTTAGTAGCGCGACGTAAGGGTTTTGCCTGGCTGCAACTCCCAGTTTACTGATTTCCTTCTCTAAAAATGGGCACCTGATGCTTTGGCTTTTAATGATGGTGGTTTAAAATATTGAATAGCTAGTGTATATTGAAGATATGAGAATACTGCGCAAAATAATTGTTGAAGTGTGTGGCCATCTCATCTAAAAGCTTAAGCTTTTAGACAGAACACACTTTTATTTACTTAATTATGTCTTCAACACGCCCCTTCACATGCGGGCTTGATTCTTTTTTATGAGCCAAGCACGTGAAAATTCTTTTTGATATTGGGTGGCGGTGAAACTCGAACCGAGGACCTCAGCCTGCTCTGATACCATGTTGTAGTGTATGACCATCTCATCTAAAAGCTTAAGCTTTTAGAGAGGATACACTTTATTTTGTCTTCAACAGTAATGGTTGGCTGCGTCACAAGGAGGCCTTTAAATCTCTTTCTGCTGATTATAGTGCTTGTTAATTAACATGTTACGCTGCAATCTCAAGACTTTGTGGAAACTAGATTATTATGTTAGTCAATAGGAGCTTTAAAGGACAAAAACCTGTGTATCTCTTAGGTACTTGAATGAATTACAGGTTGAAAAGCTTTTCGATGCTGGGTTCTGTTAATTCTTTTTGCGTCAGAGAGTTATTGCTCATCATAATTTTGAATATAGAGCACATGTAGAGTTCTGCGATTATTCATTTTTGTGAGAAGAATTTGTTGATTTTGAAGTCTCGTTCTTTTAAATGAAGAACTATTCTTTTTTAAATGGTCATGAGTATTACAAAAAAGTTTTGACATATTCTCTTTCTCACCAGTGAGCCCTGATGGTCTTCTGTTGCAAAGTTCGACTGTAGCAGATTCTACCTCTTTCCAATTTTCAGACGGCATTACAGAAGCAGTCCCATGTTCATACATCGAATTTGCTGAGCGACTTGTACTGCCCCAATATAAGGATTTACCAGCAGAAGAGGTTAGTTCTCAGTATCCTCAGTTTTCTTGCATGTTTCTCTGTAGTAAAAGCAATAAATCAATAACTTGAAGTTGGTACTCCTAACACCTGTTTATAAAATATATATGAGAAGTAAAATATGTGCCAACCGCAGTTTCATGAGTGCACAGTCATTCTATGCAACACATTGAATGTAGCCTATTTCCTCTTAAGTTGCAAAATTGTTATTTATGTCTGTTCCAATGCTTATATGGCAATGTAATTGAATAAAAGGCTACTTATTGTTCAATCTTAAAGTGGAAAACCTTGTCTGTTGAGTTGAAACATCAAACTCTTATGATTGAATTCTATCACATGCTTATTGAAATCTCCTAATTTAAAGTGTTCTCGAGGTTTTGGTTCTATGATTGGAGCTAAACTAAATTATTGGCGTTGCCTGTCGCATAGTGACATTTGTGCTAGTTTCAACCATATATTAAGATTTTATGCCGCCTGCTTTCAACCATTTGGTAACTTTAAGATGTAGCTTCAATGTAAACTAGACTTTTGCATTTTGAAGTGCCTCCTTTTAACTCTTGAATGTTAATGTCGCGTTAATGTGATGAACTATATTTTGATACTTGCTTAGGTTGAGGAGTTTCATAGACGGGACGGGTTTGAGGTTGGAAATGCTGACAAGATATTTGAAAGTACATCGAAGGATCAGTTAACCCGTCGTGCTGCATGAGGAAGAGTGCTAAGCAGTTGAACATTTTGACTGTATGAGCTAATTCTCGGCATGTTCAGCTGCTGGAAGATGATATTGTAGCTCTGAAGTGTGTAATCTGATCTTCTGTATCTATTTAAAAGAATAAAATTGCTGTACAGTAAAAGTGCAATACATGATTTTCAGTCATCTCCATTTTTACCATCTGATATTTCCTTTGACATACGCCTTAAATCCATCTTATGCTTTTTCCCTGACAAATTCTTGAAAGACAACATACAATTAAGGTTTTTATCTTGGTATTTGACTACTCTACAGCAACAACAACAAACCCAGTATTCCCACAAGTGGGGTCTGGGGACCCCTAGAAGGGCAGAGAGGTTGTTTTCGATAGACCCTCAGCCAGAGAAATTCAGTGGAATATCACAAGTAGGGTCTCGAGAGGGTAATGTGTACTTACCTTATAGAGAAGAGGCTGGTTTTTGACAACTCTACTATTAGAGAAACAAGTGTAAAGTCCCTCCACCCTTAGATCCAAAAACATATGCTTAAGAACTCACTTTCAAAATTGAATCTTTTCAAAGGAATCAGATGCATGAGCCTGGATAGTTTGTGGAAGTGAACACCACAACACCATGAGAGGAAAAAGGCTAGTAGTAGTTCGTAATTTAATCCATGAATTATGTGTGCTTATCTTGGCAGAATCAACATTGTAGTCCTATCTTTATGTTTGCTTTTCTTTCTTATTTATTTTCTAAAAGTGGTATTGGAGTTAACTTTTGCGCACCTCAATCATTAAATTAGGTACCTATTACCTCCCACCGGCATAAGTATTTTCTCCGTCCAAATTTAGACAGATGAGCAAATCTGACAGCGGAAACCACTATATTGGATGACATACTCCACGATTAACAATATTCTGCTTTTTATTATTTCCTTTTCCCTTTGCCTTTTTTCAAGAACATTCGTTCATTTTGGGACAATCAGATTTCCACCAATGATGTGGGGTGTGTGTGTGGG